GACATCATCTTGGGCTTTGGGATTCAGTGATTCACTTTTCACCTTTATCAACTAATTGATAAATTGAGAAAATCATTGACGATTGAATCGATAATTTGTCAGCTAATTGTTTGTTGCATCCCTTATAGCATGTGTGCATATTTTTCTTACTGTTCAGAAAACAAAAGTAAATGGCAGTGCAGAGATGTTTCAGAGTCCTCCACAGCCACATTGACCTGCTTTTTCTGTGTCGCTGCTCGGTGTCTGCAGGTGATTCTGACGGGAATCGGAGCAGACGAGCAGCTCGCGGGTTACTCCAGACACAGAGTGCGATTTAAGGTGTCAGGATACGAGGGACTGATCCAGGAACTGGTAATGGAGCTGGGCAGGATCTCTTCCAGGAATCTGGGCAGAGATGACCGAGTGATAGGGGACCATGGGAAAGAGGCGAGGCAAGTGTGGTATCTGTTTACTAGTCACATACAACCAGAGCATGATGTGATATCTGTCTGTTTCAGTAAATACAACAAAAAGTTATTCTTCTAAGTTACCTGCTGTAGCTTTGAGGCCTTTCATGGTTCACTCACACAGGTGGTTTTACTTATTGTACCTGATTGGACCTTGTCTCAGGTTTGTTGTTGTGTGTTCTGTAGAATATCCACATGTAAATATGTGTTTAAATCAAAAAGTTTGAGATTTCATTCACCCCCATTGTTCGGTTCGTAGTATCTGATGAACGTTACTCCGGTATCTGCAGATTTCCCTACTTGGACGAGGACGTGGTGAACTACTTGAATTCTCTGCCCGTGTGGGAGAAGGCAGATCTGTCGCTTCCTCGCGGCGTCGGGGAGAAACTCCTCCTGAGACTGGCAGCGAAGCAGCTGGGCCTCGGACAATCAGCCGTCCTGCCCAAGAGAGCCATGCAGTTCGGCTCCCGCATCGCAAAGATGGAGGACAGACGTGAAAAGGCCTCTGACAAATGCACAAGACTCCTCACTGGGTAGACGAGTCATTGGTTGTAATGAAAAGAATATAAAAATCATTTTAATAGAAAAGTTTCAATATAAAATTACATACAGTTAATATTTAAAGACATATTTACATTTTAAATTCTTGATTTACTGTTACAGATTCTTGAAATTGGCCAAGATTTCACATTTGATTGTTTTTTTTTTTGTCATACTTTTTTAACGTGGCACAATAAATGTGGTGTTTGTCTAAACCATGTAAGACTCGACATCTTGAAGTTTTTCTCTGAAGTAAAGGTCACATTCAACATATGAAGGCAGGTTTCCAACATCGAAACGCCCAGAAATCTGATGAACGTAAACTGGCTTCCTGAGAGACACAAAACGACAAAAAAGTCATTTATTGAGAAACACACTAACAAATAAATTTAAAATGTGGATTCATTTTAGCAGAGTATCCACATAGTTTTTCATGTATAAAAAGTATTATATAGATTCAAATCAAACGGAAAAGAAGACCCGCTTACTGTCACAAAGCAGGATTACAAAAGTATCTGGATAACATTGCTGAGTAAAACCTGGAGACTCCCCAGAGTCCAGCAGAAATTACCTTGGAATGAGCCACGACACAAAGTTCCCTGGGGCGTCTCTCTCATCAATACGAGCCTCCTGTGGAAATAAAAAGTTGTGCTTAATAGTGAAATAAAAATATAATTTACTCTTAATTGACATCACATGCGGGATGTTTGATCAGTAAATAAATATACCTTCTTCTCCTCAATGAATGCATCCAACAGTGGGAGGCTTTTCTTTGAAAACACATAGAAACAGGGACACTGAAAGACAACGACATCATTAAGTGTAAATGTAAATAACGTACAGTGTACATGTAGACAAAATGACCATTTCTTTGTTTTGCTACATAAACAGGTCAAAGTCACTTCAGTATATACAAATGTAAACTAATGTATCATTTAAAACTTTCAGTATGTACAAGAGTAAGTTAACGTATCACCATTCAAACGCACTTTGGTTCACGTGTTAGTAAGTGAACACATCACTGTTCAGTGTCACTTAGTATGTACAACAGTAAGTGAATGCATCATCAACGCTGCACATCCAGGGCTGATTCTGAAACTGTTCAGTTCAGTGGTACGTTCGGTCTGTTAGTCCGAGCTGTCACATTCAGTTCAGTCCGTTACAAACACTGCACATAAGGTTATTTATTACTTATATCAGATTATGACTGTTGTGGCGGCGCTGGCAGAGTATCAGGGAAGATATCAAGTGTCTGCTGATGTCTATGAGTCTGAAACATGAACCAATCACTGACTGCAAAGATTTTCAACCAAAGATTTAATATGATGACTTTATTCCGAGCTGCTCTTCTCCAGAGTAAAAGTCGATTTTTTAGGTGTTTTTGCTCAGATCTTTTGTATCCACACAGACAGGCTTTATTGGCAGGCTTTGTTCAGTGTTAGTGGGGAACTTACTGCTCTCCTCGACTTTGTCTCAGAAGGAAGAGGTTTCTCCTTCATACAGAGGACGCGAAGGTCACCGTCTACTTCCAATATCCCGTATTTACGAGTTTCTGTAGAGACACAACACAGAACTAATTGTGAGCATGAGGCCAAACCAGTAGATTAATTCCCTTCCCATCAGCCTTAACTACTCACCCTCCTCCTTGCACTGGTAGGAGAGCACCAGACAGCTGTCCTCACACGTTGCCTGCAGGTCAGAAAACCTCTCTTTCACTTTACTGAGGCTAAAATCTTCTTTGAAGAGCGTGTCACTGTGGGGAATAGAAAGGGAGATGCATCAGTTTGGCAGAAACGCCTTCATTTCACAGCTGTAACCCACAACTCTGCATGTTTGTACTGATGTCTCATTCAACTTACCCCCCTATTACCAAGACGTGGTCTTCTATCTTGAAGTGCTTCACTGCAAGTTGCAGGCAGGCCACAGCACCAAGACGGCCCTGGAGGAATTAGAGCGTGAGCTTGATTTAGAGGTTTAATCATAGAAGAGAATATGTTGGTCTAAAGAAACCTGAATCCATTCTCAAACATGGGAGAAGAACTCTTCTCTTAGAAAGGTTAAAATCCTATAATCTGAATTTTAGGCCGTAAAAATGTTAAAAAAGATAACGTTACTTGTATGAACTGAATGTTTTCAGTCTTTTAAATGTGTTTTTTGGGGGAAATTTGTATTTATCATGCTGTAACAACTACTAAACAGAACCAACATGGATCCAACCTTTGCACTTTCTTCCCCAATATGAACGTAAAATAGTTTTAAACTGCATTCATACTGGTCTTTAAAAGTCTTACATTTGACCAGTTCAAACCTGCAGGAACCCTGACTGACTTGTTCAGCACATACCTGCAATATGGGACTTCTACAGTCTACTTTCTACAGGTGGAAACATGTGACACAAGTAGTGAAAACAATCATTGTAAAGATGCATTTACCTCGTTGCTTCTCGTCTGATCGTTGAGAATCTTGACGTTAGTGAAATGTGATGCCCACTCCTCAAATGCAGCGTGATAGAGAGCGTTAGTCTGTGGAGAGGAGAGCAGAGGAAAGAGAGGTTTATACCTTTATATCAGGGATTAGGGAACTAACAATTAGTCCCATTATCGATTAATCTGTCGATGATTTTCTCAGTTAATCGATTAGTTGTGCGGTCCATAAAATGTTGATTACTGTTTCCCTCAAATGTCCACAAACCATAGATATTTAATTCACTGTCACAGAGGACTAAAGAAACAAGAACATTTCACTTTTGAGAAACTGAAATCAGACAAGCTGGACATTATTTCTTTTAAAAAAAGAACTCAAAATTATTATCAGTAGTTGGAATTTAATAGTTGACGACTATAATTAATCGACTAATTGTGGCAGCCCTGTCTTTAATGTAATAAAATAAGTATTGAATAAAAAGTTTATATGCAAAAAGTACTCATAATATAGACTGGCTCCTTTTATAGTGTCATGTCTTTATTACACACTAGATTATTATTATTATTGATGCAGTAAAATAAAGTCATGCAGTTCATTTTAACTGCTTCAAACTGTTTGGTTAGTTCATTCTTTAACAATGCACAGCTGTTATAAACGTGCTCACAGGTTTTCACCACTGTGTACTAACAACTTACAACCACATAGATGCAGTCCACACAGCCAGAGGCGGTCAGTGAACGCACCCAGTGGGAGATCAACGAGCACCGTCCCACGGGCAGCAGCGGCTTGGCGACGCCGGACAGGTGAGCGAATTCCCCGCTGCTGTCGGCCACCACGTCCCTCTGGAGCCTGGTTCCGTACCCGGCGGCGAGGACTACGGCTTTCATTTCACCGGTGTTGTCGGTGTGAGCTGGTCGGTTACTCTAAAGAGGTTATAAACCACCGAGAATGGTGGAAAGGGCTCTTCTCGCGAGATTTTAATTTTCAAAGTAAAAGTAGGGCTTCTTCCGGTGATTTTACAGGGAAGCAAGTGCAGGTTTTTATTATCTTAATTGAAGCAGCTGGTGAATAAAAAGGTGTTCAGGCACATTGAGCAGGAGTATTGTGTGTATGAACATAAATATTGGTCCAATACAGTTAAAATCATTTTTTATCTGATCTCAATGTGACCCTCACAATTTAAATTCTGTACATATGTATGCAAACTTATTGTATTTAACTAATTCATAACACTTAATAAAATGTAAAAATAATATACATAGTTACAGTTTTAGACAGATGGACCCTTGTCACTTATTAAGAGTTACTGATGAGTCTTCTTCTTTTGCTGTAAACCTAAAACACATATTTTGAGCATGTTGTTGCACAATCCTTTTTAAATATTGACATTTTCTGTAAAACATGCCGCACCCACACTACTGACCACAACCTGAAAGTCAAAGCCAAACACTGTTATCTCAAGCCAAACCAAAAGTGGAACAAACAAAACTGAAGCAGACAGTAAAAAAGTGTTTTCTTGATTTATTTGCCAACGCATTATGACATGAACGCACATCATTCACACACACAGTTACCTTCATTTTCCCCCTCAAAATCAGTTTTCTACAAATACAAAAAAAGAACAAAGATATTTCTTGACAAGAAATCTTAAACATCTGTGGGGCAGAGGAGAGAAATGTCCGTTTATTTCGAGTGCTTTTGTTGGTCACTCTACGTCTTCGCTGCTGCTTCCAGCCTCATGTGCGGTGACGTCAGCTTCAACATCTTTCTCTGGCTCCTGGAGGTCTGAAGGTTCGGGCTGAGATTCCTCCATCGGTTCCTCAGCTGGCTCTGGTTGAGATGATGGTGGTGGTGTCTCCTCTTCTTTCGTCAAGTCCACCTGAAGAGGAACACAAATTAGTGTACGAGGTTAATAAAATAGATGAACAGGGGCAGCATAGAGTAGCTTTTTGTTGATTATGTTGCATATGAATCCAAAAATCTTGTTACTTTTAAGTCTAAAAAGAATTCAACCTTACATATTTTGCCATCCTGTATATTTTTTAGCATCTAAATGAATGCATGTAAACTATTTAATAAGCAGAACTTCAGACTTTAAATGACATTTTCCTCCTGAACCAGATTTCCTTGACCAGTGTCGGTTACTGAGCTGTACACATTTAACATCCAAGTACAGATAGAAAGGTCTGCTTACTTAATTCAATTGATTGTAACTTGATCTCACCTGGGAAACCGTGTCAGCAGTTTCCTCCTGTATCACAGGATCAGACTCTTCTTGCTCCATTGGTTCTTCGTCATCCTTCGTGTCGCCTGGATGTTCCTGAGCTGGTGTCTCGGACTCTTCTAGTGCAGCACTGGGAGCCTCTTCTTCACCTGTGGCAGTAGCTGGTTCCATCTGTATGATGGAAAAAAAAGAGAGGATGGGGCAACAACTTATGAATAAATACCTCCATCACTCAAGGATGTCCATATATGGCAGTAAACATGTGCTTCAGGCATCATGAGTCATGTTTATGTCTTTATAAGTTACCTCTTTCTCCACGTCAGGCTCCACAGGTTTTGGTTCTGGTTTTTTATCTGCTTCCAGGACTGCCATGATGGAGGCCGGTATGTGAGCTTGCTGTTACACAGAAACACAGAGGCGGTTCATACATAAGGAATCCTAAGAGGAGCAGAACTGTTTGATTGTTCAGTAAACGTGGAAGAGGCCCCTTTACCTGATGAGGTGTGAAGGAGTGGACGTGCTGTAGAAGAGGCTCTCTCATCTCCGGGCAGCGTTCAAACACGCTGGTCAGCTGTGCGGGCGGCAGCTGCAGGAGGACGCTGAACGACTGAGGCTTCGTCCTCTGGCAGCACTTTACAAATCCCTCCCACACCTTGGGATACTTCCACACCTACAGGACAAAAAACACAACAACATAAAAACAAATGAATACAACTCCTGGATATTAACGACTGTAGAATCGGTGAATATTTGGCTGCAGTTTGGTGCAGACCTGCTTGACGATGAGGCGGGACAGGATGTTCATGACGAAGCCTCCCAGTCGGGGATACATGGTGAGGGACTGGATGACGGTACGCATGAGCAGGATGGGGAGGGGACTCTGCTCCATCAGCTGCTGCATCACCACCGCCAAAACCTCCGACGTGTACACGTTCTTCTCCCCGAAGCACAGGTTGGTAGCTGTAGTGCAAACAGAGCAGTTTCATTACCAGCTGTCGAACATACGCGACAGAGACTGATCCACTCGGTGCTCGGACAAATATTATTTCAGAATTAACAGTCACATATTACAGACCAAAACCAAATATACAGTTTACAATAAAGATCCATCTGAGAGGAACTGAAAACCAACGTATTATATTTACCCACACTATATTGTGTCTCAACATCTAGGAACTGCATTGGCATTACATTTACTATACTATACTATCTATTTACACTTGTTTAAGCCAGCAATGTCATGAAGTATATAGTTTTAATGGTAACCCTGTGTAAAATCTAACTATCTGGGGGTTGTTGCTGGAATCAAACTCTAAAACCTGTCAGTGATGGTGTGAATATAAAGGCAAAAAGGAGAAACAGATCAGAATAACAACATATTGAAGCACCAACTGCTGTTCAGAAACACTAAAATAAACACAAATGTGCTAAATAAACATTCTGTTTTAGGGTTTTGGCACCGACCTTTTATGATAGACTTCATATCACATTTGGTTGAGTCTATGTTGTGTAAGGCAATTAGCAGGTCTCCTGGGGTGAGAGGGGACACAGTTGAACTTCCCTCACCTGAAAGACAACAGTGAGAATACATCAAGTCCTTCACCTGAAAGTTAGTTCAAATAAAACCATATACATCAGAAAATAAGGAAATAAGAAACAAGGGAATCATCAAATCCTGTTAAAATTGTTATGTATGATATTATATCTTGATAAAATGTGTAAATCTGTGAGCTGGGTTCTTCATGTAAAAAGAAAATAGAGAATAAAGTGTTTTTAATGTGAAGCAGCTAGTGACACCTAGAGGGGGAGTTCAGTTACTGCAGATAAACAGAGAGGAAAAGTTTAATAATTAGAGGTATATAAGACCAAAATAAGAACACGAGTAAATACAGAAACTATAGAAGAGCAGTCAAAGAGCAGATTAATATGATTAGGTAATAATACTTACTGTTTGCCTGTGCTAATAACATAATATATTACAGTATAGTATAGTAACAGAATATGAAATATAGTATAGTGTGAGCGTAGGATCGTATATTATAATATAAATATACAAGAGATCCACGAGGAGAAGACCTAAGTGACTCTTACTGTGCTGAGTGCCCAACAGACGGTTGAAGACCTCTTTCACTACAATCGGGTTGAGTTTGATCAGCTTGGGGAGAGCCTGGATGACTTCATTCTACACCACAGAAACAACCAAAAACACTAAATTCAAAT